AAGTTGCACCTCTGGCAAGAACAGCTTCCTTGATTGTCATGTTCTTGGCCACAATAGTAGCGATGGTTGATTGGGGTTTTGTGTACAACCTGGCCAGCTCGGAGACACGCACTCCACTTTCATACTTAGCAATGATCTCTTTCTTCATATCCATAGTAATTCTCACTCTTTTTGCTGTAGGGTTGGCACTAGAAGCTTTCTTGGGGCCCATGGTGACTTACTTTGCAGCTGCAATCACTAAAAAGGCTGTGATAATATGAAATGTTCCGATTGTATGCTTGGAAGCGACCGCGGTGGGTGGCTGGCTTGTAAACACTGGCACCCACTGAACAAGTGAGGCGGGCTCAGGCCGCACGTGGACGCGTCTCAAATGAATTGCGTTGAGCGAGTTTTTTAGCGCTAGCCGAGGCAAAATTTTTGCGTTAAAATGTATCGCTAGGCGGATTTAACGTTATGCGATGCGTTCGTTAGGCGAGGGTCCACTATACATGTATTACTAAATTTAAAAGGAGAAACTTTCGTTTTTCCTTTTGGGCCACCCCACCTCAGTGGGATACGGCTGGTACATTGAAAGAATAATAATAATAATAATAATAATAATAATCACCGAGTCTCGTTAAATGTCGTATATTAAGTTAATAGTATACATATTTTCATTAATCCATCTATGATATTTTTTCAAAATTATATAATAAACACGATACATAACATATAAAGATGATAAATACACCCTACAGTAGAATAAATAAACATAAATATGAGATGTGGTAGCCAGACTTGTACGAGTGACGCCACATTAGTAATATTAAAAACAATCACCGAATCTCATTAAATGTCGTATATTACGTTAATATACATCTTTCTTTCTTTCAACACACCAGCCGTATCCCACCAAGGCAGGGTGGCCCAAAAAGAAAAACGAAAGTTTCTCTTTTAAATTTAGTAATTTATACGGGAGAAGGGGCTACTATCTCCTTGCTCCCGGCATTTTAGTCGCCTCTTACAACACGTATGGCTTACAGAGGAAGAATTCTGTTCCACTTCCCCATGGAGATAAGAGGAAATAAACAAGAACTAGAAAGAAAATAGAAGAATACCCAGAGGGGTGTGTATATATATGCTTGAACATGTATGTGTAGTGTGACCTAAGTGCAAGTAGAAGTAGCAAGACATACCTGAAATCTTGCATGTTTATGAGACAGACAAAAGACACCAGCAATCCTACCATCATGTAAAACAATTACAGGTTTTCGTTGTACACTCGCTTGGCAGGATGGTAGTACCTCCCTGGGCAGTTGCTGTTTACCAACCTACTACCTAGGGTTAATATACATATTTTCATTAATCCATCTATGATATTTTTTCAAAATTATATAATAAACACGATACATAACATATAATGATGACAAATACATCCCACAGTAGAATAAATAAACATAAATATGAGATGTGGTAGCCAGACTTGTACCAATGATGGCAAGAATAACATTTTTCTCTAGTGAAACATAAGAGAAAATGTGTTACTGGGGGTAACTGTAGAAAATTATTCCTTTCGTATGTAAGTTAGTTTATTCAGGTATACACAAATACAGTTACATAAATTATCATACATAACAGCATACATGTATGTGTAGAGAACCTAGGATAACCCAAAAAAGTCAGACAGAGTGACTTATTTCCATTGCCTTCACTCAGAGCGTCATTTCTTCTAAATGGTGTTGCACGAGAATGGGAGTGTTCTTCTTTATTTATTCTACCGTATCAATGTAGAGACAACTTGTACACAAACCAGACATGTACACTTTGTTTGTTTACAAAACTTGCATTCGCCTGGTTTGTTTACATAACTCTGCGCCTGTCCTCCCGCATGTACTCATTCTCTTTCTCTCTCTCTCATTTATTTGTTTTACCTCATTTACTCACCCCTGACCCTACATTAAGACTACAAATATTTTAAGGTAAATAATGAGTGAATTGCACATGCATTTTATCGCTCTGGGATTCTTAATTAAATGTCATAGAATATTGTATGGGTGGAATGGCCTGGTATGGTAGCCCAGGTGGCTGTATGATAGAAAAAAACATGATAGAAAAACCTTTTCTGAATGTAATGAAACAAAAAGTTCGTAATCTGATGGAAAACCTATCGAATTCCACTCCTGCAAAGTTAGCCATTTAGCATTTTCGCCCACTCTGAGCACTATTTTGTGCCAATTTCTTTGTTCCACTCGACCAAACTCATAGCTATTTCATTAGAACTCCTCTTGTTCTATTGAGTACAAGAAACTGCTCATTTACCTATTTCAACTACACAAAAAAGTTATCAAAAATTAATAATTTGGCCAATTTCACACAAAATTCAAGAAAGGCCAATTTCAAAATAGGGGACAGAATAAACAATGCAGACATTCTTGGCACTAAAATAAAATTTTCTCTGTTCATCTGTCACGTCTTGAGGCCCTCTTATATTACGCTTGCTTGTCATTTTGAATTTTTATTCACACAAAAAATAGAAGATTTACTGTTATTCAGACTACTGCATAATTATAATAATTTTATATATAATATCAGCACATTCGTGAATGCATATTAGACCTGCCAGCTGACATGTATTGGATGCATGATGTGATTTGTTTACTCCTGAACATCGTCGAAAATCTAACATTTTGAGCTCAATTTCAAGCTATTTTTAGTCTGTAAACCATTCAAAATCACCTATTTCTGTAATATATCTTCCATACTATCAAATGAGACCAAGAAAACAAGAATACAACCATAAATATCATATGAAAATATGCTGCAAAGTCACTGTTTTAAACCTAAAACAGGGTTGCAGTTTTTTTTTTCTCATGCACTGCTTGCTGCAGGATTTTTTTATATTGCACACAACCATGCAGACCCATTCTCTTATATGTAGGCCAACCAGTTTTCCCCAGCAAGATTTGAAGCCCCTAGAAGTTTGGCATTGCATTACGGGACTGACACTGGCTTACAAGCCATAATTTTATGGGACCAACACCGAAGGGGTTAAAATAGCAAATTTGTGAGGTTTTCTTGGTTGCTTTTTATGGTGTTACTGGCTGTTTCTTAGTATCATTTGACAGAATGGAGGGCTTACTACTGAAAAAGAGATGATTTTCATTTGTTTCAAGAATGAAGGGAGCTTGAAATTGGGCTCAAAATAATGGTAATATTTGATTTCTGACGATTTTCCTGAGGACGGATAAAGCCCCCTAAACCCCGTGGTCTGTTTTATGGATTTTTAAGAAGTTTCATTCAATTAGTGGGATGCCATAACCATGACCAATCATTTCTGGTTATATTAAATCAGGGAAGTAGAGAAAATCTTATATTTTTGTGATTATGAATTCAAAATGAAAGGCAAGTAAGAGTCCTGGGGAAGTGATTAATGAACACAGGAAATGTTGTTTTGGAGACAGGACTGTCTATATTGTTTATTTTACACACTATTTTTAAATTGGTATTATTTTAATTTTGTGTAAACTAACTTAATTACTGACTTTTGTGCACTTTACAGTTAAACGGGCAGTTTCTGGTGCTTAATTAACAGAATGGAAGGCCTACTAGTGAAGTAGCTGAAAATGGAGCAATGAAATTAGCTTAAAATTGGGATCAAAGTAGGTGAAATCGCTGATGCATAAATTGCCCAAGACTGCTAACTTTGCACCTGTGTAATTTCGTAAGTTTTCCATCAAATTTTGTACTTTTGGTGCCATTACCTTCAGGAAACCATTCTCTACCATTTCAGATTAAAAAAAAAGTGGACATTGGAAGCAATATTAATTTCAGGTGGTCTAGACAGTGAAAGGGTGACAAGGTGGGACAATGAGCTGAAGACAACTAGTTTTCCCTTACAAACTCAAATAGGTGATTACCTTTTGAGGGTCCCCAATCTGAAAATTCCCTACAGCAAATTTGACAAAAAACTGACGAAATTACGCTCACGAATTCTGCTGTGTCAGCGATATTTATGCATCGTCGATTCTGCCCACTTTGAGTAATATTTTTGGCCAATTACACTGTTCCATTAGACCAAATTCTTAGCTATTTCACTAGTATATATTCTATTTTATCTACTGCATACAAGATATTGCCCAATCAACTATTTCAACTACCTAATAAAGTGAACAGAAATTGGTAATTTGGCCAATTTCAAACAAAGTTCAAAATATTCCAATTTTAAATAGGGTCCAGAATAAACAATGCAGGCATTCCTGGCACTAAAACAACATTTCCTCTGTTTATTAGTTATGTTTCCAGGCTTTACGGATGAATTCAATTTTGATTTTTTATTCACAAAGAATTTTTATTCATATAAAAAAATAGATTTACTGTTATGCAATATTGTAATAACTGTATAAATAATATCAGCACATTCATGTACGCACATTAGATCCACCAGCTGACGTGTACTGGACATGTGATGTGATATATTTACTCTTGAACACCGGCAAAAATTGAACATTTTTGCTACCTTGGGCTCAATTTCAAGCTATTTTCAGTACTGAAGCCAATCAAAATCATCTCTATTTCTGTAATATATCTTCCATTCTATCAAATGAGGCCAAAAAACTGCAAACACAACTGTAAAAACCATACAAAAATACACTGCAAAGTTGCTGTTTTAATCCAATGACACAGTCGCGTTTTTTTCCCCTCATTATGCACTGCGTGATGCAGGATTTGTTTCATATGGTGCACACTTACCACGTAACTGCATTCTCTCATATCTAGGCCCAAATTTACTGCTCACAGTTTATCTGAGTGAGCTGAGCTCATGACGTAGTACCAGGGCTTGGACCCTGGCTTCAAAGACGTAGAACTACGGGACCAATCCACAAAGGGTTAAAAAAAATCGATACATGACCCAATATATTCTAAATTTTAACAAACGACTTGCCTAAAGGAATATATACCTACAATAAAAGCCTTATTCTGTACATCATCAGTCTCCCTTAATTTAAACCAAGGTCACTCACCTTTATGAATTCATGAAATGTAGTATCAGTGAGATGAGCCACGTCACTAGGTGTGTCAGACCAAACCTCCTCTTTGGGCTTCTCTGGTGCCTTCCCAGGATTTCTCATAAATGCTACAATTCCTGCTTTATTATTTTCCCCTTCATATGTGTACTTTGGGACCCCATTTCTGCAATTAACAAAATATTCTCAGATCATATAAGATATACCAAATATGATGCAATTGCAAAACACATTTTTTGCTTAAAATGTTTAGATTAATATGTCATCCTTTCAAATTCACAGGATTCCTTATTTTTTTAACACGTTGGCCGCCTCCCAACGAGGCAGAGTGACCCAAAAAAGAAAGACACTTTCACTATCACTCATACATAATCTCTGTCTTTGCAGAGGCGCTCATATATGACAGTTCAGATGTCACTCCAAACAGCAAATACAGTGGTCCCTCAATAATCGTCCGGCCTGAAAGTCGTCCATTTTGGAAATAGTCGCGTTATTTCGTCTAAACATGGGCTCGCAAATGGTCCATTAACTCGCTAATCGTCTTTCGTCCTGGACGCGTACTCACAGCTCTGAGCTGCGTCGGCCTCCCTTCCCAGCTAGTGTGCCATAGCTTACCAGTGAGCGATGGTCCCCTCACGTATTCATACAAAATATTTCATAATATTCCATTCATTTTAGTGCTTGCAAGTGCTAAATAAGCTACAATGGCTCCAAAGAAAACTCCTAGTGCCAAGCCTTTGTTAGACAAGGTGAGAAATACGATTGAATTTAAGAAAAACATCATTGAACAATATGAAAGTGGCGTACGTGTGGGCAAACTGGCCAGGATGTATAACAAATCCCGTACAACCATATTTTCCATCATAACCAAGAAAAAGGAAATCAAGGAAGCTGTTGTTGCAAAAGAGGTAAATATGCTGACAAAAATGAGATCACCAGTACTCAAAGAGTTTGAGAAGTTATTGTTGGTGTGGATAAACGAGAAACAATTAGCAGGAGATAGTCTTATGACGTCGATTATTTGTGAAAATGCTAGGCAGTTGCATGACGATTTGGTAAAGAAATTGCCTGCAACTAGTGGTGATGTGAGTGAATTTAAGGCCAGCAAAGGCTGGTCTGAGAGATTTAAGAAGCGTACTGGCATACACAGTGTGATAAGGCATGGTGAGGCTGCCAGTTCAGACCAAAAAGCGGCTGAAAAATATGTGCAGGAATTCAAGGAGTACATAGAGGCTGAAGGACTGAAACCTGAACAAGTGTTCAATTGTGATGAAACAGGCCTCTTTTGGAAGAAAATGCCAAAGAGGACCTACATTACTCAGGAAGAAAAGGCACTGCCAGGACACAAGCCTATGAAAGACAGGCTGATGCTCATGTTCTGTGCTAATGCTAGTGGGGATTTCAAAGTGAAGCCGTTACTAGTGTACCATTCTGAAAATCCCAGTGTGTTCAAGAAAAACAATGTTATGAAGAGTAAATTGTGTGTGTTTTGGAGATCTAATAATAAGGCATGGGTCACCAGGGAAATTTTCGTCGAGTGGTTCAATGAAGTGTTTGGCCCTAGTATGAAGAATTACCTCCTGGAAAAGAAATTGGATCTCAAGTGCCTCCTAGTAATGGACAATGCACCTGCTCATCCTCCAAACTTGGATGACCTAATTCTGAAGGAGTTTGGGTTCATCACAGTTAAGTTCTTGCCCCTGAATACCACTCCTCTCCTCCAGCCCATAGACCAGCAGATCATTTCAAACTTTAAAAAACTCTACACCAAAGCAATGTTTGAAAGGTGCTTTAATGTGACCTCAGACACTCACTTGACCCTAAGAGATTTTTGGAAAGAACACTTCAGTATTCTCCATTGCATAAGCCTTATAGGTAAGGCTTGGGAGGGAGTGACTACCAGGACTTTGAACTCTGCTTGGAGAAACTTGTGGCCAGATTGTGTCCACAGGAGGGATTTTGAAGGGTTTGAGGCAGCCCCTGATGAGCCTATGTCAGTTATGAACTCTACTGTGGCACTGGGGAGTTCCATGGGGTTGGATGTGAGTTTGGAGGATGTGGAAGAGTTGGTGGAGGACCACAATGAAGAGCTAACCACTGAGGAAATGCAAGAGCTTCAGCAGGAACAGCAACAGATCGCAGCTCAGAATCTTGCTGCAGAGGATCAAGAGCCCCTAACCCTCACCAGCATCAAGGTTCCTTGACACTGGTGAGGGGCTCTTGAGCTAGGGAATTGGATCTGTGCTCCAGTTCCCTAAATTAATAATAACAATAATAATAATATCTTAGGTAGTAGGTTGGTAGACAGCAACCGCCCAGGGAGGTACTACTGTCCTGCCACGTGAGAGTAAAATGAAAACCTGTAATTATTTTACATGATGGTAGGATTGCTGGTGTCCTTTTTTCTGTCTCATGAACATGCAAGATTTCAGGTATGTCTTGCTACTTCTACTTACACTTAGGTCACACTACACATACATGTACAAGCATATATATACACACCCCTCTGGGTTTTCTTTTATTTTCTTTCTAGTTCTTATTCTTGTTTATTTCCTCTTATCTCCATGGGGAAGTGGAACAAAATTTTTCCTCCGTAAGCCATGCGTGTTGTCAGAGGCGATAAAATGCCGGGAGCAAGGGGCTAGTAACCTCTTCTCCTGTATATATTACTAAATGTAAAAGGAGAAACTTTCATTTTTCCTTTTGGGCCACCCTGCCTCGGTGGGATACGGCCAGTGTGTTGAAAGAAAGAATGAAAGAATAATAATACACAGTGGACCCCCGCATAACGATTACCTCCGAATGCGACCAATTATGTAAGTGTATTTATGTAAGTGCGTTTGTACGTGTATGTTTGGGGGTCTGATTTGGACTAATCTACTTCACAATATTCCTTATGGGAACAAATTCGGTCAGTACTGGCACCTGAACATACTTCTGGAGTGAAAAAATATCGTTAACCGGGGGTCCACTGTATAGGTAGTAGGTTGGTAGACAGCAACCACCCAGGTGTATCTACCGCCGCCAAGTGATTTGTGAAACGAAAGCCTGTAATTGTTTTACATGAGGTAGGATTGTGGTGTCCATTTTTCTGTCTCATGAACATGCAAGGTTTCAGGTACGTCTTGTACTTCTACTTACACTTAGGTCACACAACACATACATGTTTTTTTTTTTTTTTTTTTTTTCCTTTTTCCCTTCTCCCAGGGAGGGCGACCCAAAAAAGGGGAAAGAAAATAAAAAGAAAAACCCCTTTCTTATATTACAAATTTAAAGAACTTTTGTTTTTTTTGGCCAGAGGGTCGGCTTTAAAAAGAAAGATAAAATAAAAGATAAAAATTTTTCCCTCCAAGATTGCCATACCCAAACCCCCCATAGTTGAAAGTTTATTTCCCTTTTCCCAGGATTTTCGTCCGATTTTACAAAATAACCGGTTCCCTGAATTTCACTTGAAAATTATGTCCATTAAACCAGGCCCAAGTTAACCAACATTCCAAAAAATTACTAAACCCCAAAAGGAAAAACAAAACAATTGTAAGCCCAAAGCCCTTCCCAAATAATTCCTTTACATTCCAATTTTGGAGGACGAAAGGACTACCCGCTTCCCCCCCATGTTTATTGTTTTTTTTATTCCATTTTGACCATTCCCTCTCCTATCCACCCACCTCAATCCCCTCTCTCCTCTGAAAAAAGGGGTTTATTTAATACCAACTTTTTTTTTAATTCTCAATCAATTTTTTATAAATTTTTTTTATAATAATTGCCCTTAAACAGGACATCATGCCTCCAAACCCCTCCTCGTTTTACCCCAAATAAACCCCATAAAGAGGTGAGTGGTACACAATTACTATACCTTTTCTTTCCCTATAGATAAAGTTTTTTTTGACTTATATACTTAAGAATCATTTTTTCATCAATTTATGATTACCTCATCCTTCAAAAATTTCCATCGCGACAGTCAATCCAAGTATTGAAAAACATTCACTTCTTTCCATATCCTCCTCCCAATTATATCAATTTTTCTTATAATAAACCGATTTGGAAAAACCTCATCCTTACTCTTTTCAAAAGTTCACTTCTATTTTCTTCCCTTACACACAATTCAATCTCATTAACCTTTGCATTTTCTTTTAGAAATCTCCAAGCACAGTAATCATCGGGGCAAAAAGTAATGTGTCAATTCCCATTTGAATTTGAATTATTAATTTTAAACCACCCTTCCAAACACCCTAGCATTTATTTCCTTTACACCCTCTAATATATAAAAACATGGTACTACACATCCCGCCCAAGACCTACTTTGGAAATTTCCACCTTTAAAACAATGGTTAAAATTTTCCAAAAAAAAAATTTTAATAATTAACATGATTAATAATTGCTCTTTTCCACATTGTCCTTATCCATTATAAAAAGGCCCTGTTTCTAAACCCAAGGAAAAAATTCCCCTATTTTTTTAAATTACTGTTAATAATAGGCTTTTGTAAAAATGATCAACAATCCTCCCCAGGAAATTTGTCATTGCCGCAATTTAATTATGTCTTAACCTCTTAATTCTTTTAATTAAACCTAACGGAATTTCTGGATAAAGAAAGGGTTACCTCAAAAATTTTTAAAGTCCTCTTTTGTCTTCCCCCTTTTAAAAGGGTGTCATAAATGTCTCCGGAAAATTCCTAAGGTCCCTTCCCTCTTCATCATTTTTTAAACGTCCCAAACATCCAACTTTATATTGTTGAAAATTTTCATCTCCCTAGTAGGGGTTTACCCCTTCATTGAGTCTAATTGTATTTTCCCAACTTTAATCTGTTTTTATTAAAGATGGGTTTGTGTGAGGGGAAATTACCCCCAGTTTTTTTAACATTTAAAATCCTAATTATTTGAATTATAATACCAAAATTTCCCCCCTTTAACAACCCCCACTCTTTTTTAACTGACAAACCCAATTTTCCCTGGCTTTTTAACTTGTTTAATCACCCCAAAATTTTTTTCTTATTTTCATTAAAATTTTTGACAGTGCCTCTCCCACTCTATATCTCCCTTCCTTTTGCACTCTCCCCCATTCTTTACCTTTCTTTTACTTCCATATACTCTGCTTTCTTTTAAACTTCTGCTTGAAAAAAACCTCCATAAGCTACCTTTTTTCTTTTTCACCCCTTTACCTCATCATTC